AATGACACGTGGTCTGAAACTGTAAAACATTGAACCAAACATGAGAAGCATTCCTAGTAAAGAAAAGAAATGATACTCAAGGGAATGACACATGGTCTGAAAACGGAAAACATTGCACCATAGCTGAAAAGAATTCCTATTAAAGAAAGAAATAATACTCAAGGGAATGATATGGGAAAACATTTTGCCATAGCTGAAAAGCATTTCTAGTATTGAAAAAAGTAATACTCAAGGGAATGACACATAGAATTTAGAAAACATTACACCACAACGAATAAGATCTATTGCTTTTCACCTTCCCATTATTACCGGTTTTGTCTTATTCCTTTTGTCTGATGATGGGCTTTCTTATCCAGACCATTTCAAGTTATGGGGCTAGATAATACATGGCAGAATCAACATGACGTCATCAACACAATCAATATGACGTCATCAACACGATCAATATGACGTCATCAACACAATCAATATGACGTCATCAACACAATCAATATGACGTCATCAACCTTGTATAAGAGTGAATTTAATCGTGTGAGTCAAAGTGGAACAGACTGTGACAAGTGTGTCATTAAGTATAAAGTATCTCCAAACGATTCCACTCAGAGTAACTGTGATGGTTTGACCCATAATTGCCCACAGTTGACGCTGACTAGAGCTGGTTCTAATGACAGCATTACTTTTGACAAGTGCAAAACTGCTTTGTTTTATGCTGTTTATCAACTTAACAATGAAAATGTGGTTCGTGCATTGATTGATGCTGGTGCAGATGTCAACATAACTGATGAGGGGAAAACTGCTTTGTTTTATGCTGTTCAACAAAATAACAATGAAAGTGTGGTTCGTGCATTGATTGATGCTGGTGCTGATGTCAACATAACTGATAATGAGAGGAGAACTGCTTTGTTTTATGCTGTTCAACGAAGTAACAATGAAAGTGTCGTTCGTGCATTGATCGATGCTGGTGCTGATGTCAATAAAACTGGAGATTTTGGCCAAACTGCTTTATTTTTTGCCGTTAAAAAGATAAACAATGAAAGTGTGGTTCGTGCTTTGATTGACGCTGGCGCTGATGTGAATTTTCTTGATGGAGGAAAACAAAATGCTTTGTTTAATGCTGTCCAGCAAGATGACGCACAAGTTGTTCGTGTCCTGATTGATGCTGGTATAAAGATCAACATAATTGATAACGATAGGAGAACTCCTTTGTTTTATGCTGCCAAACATGGCAATGCAGATGTTGTTCATGCTCTGATTAATGCAGGTGCTGATGTTACTTTTATTAACAAACTAGGACGAAAGGCTTTGTTTTATGCATTTCTCGATGAAGACGAAGAAATTTTCTATGCTTCAACTCAACACGACAAAAAACATGTGGTTCGTGCATTGATTGATGCTGGTGCTGATATCAACAGAACTGATAATGAGGGGAGAACTGCTTTGTTTTATGCTGTTCACGAAAGGAACTATGGAAGTGTGGTAAGTTCATTGATTGAAGCTGGTGCTGATGTCAACATAGCTGATAATTCTGGAAAAACTGCTTTGTTTTTTGTGAGTGGTAATGATAAAGGCCGTTGTGTAGCTCGTGTAATAATAGAGCAGGGTGGTGCTCTGATAGATGTCAGGGATCATGATGGCAGAACTCCTTTGTTTTTCGCTATGAAAAGCAGCCGATACAGTCTTTCTTTCGCTAGTTACCTTCTTGAAAAAGGAGCAAATCCGAATCTGAAAGACAACAATGGTACCAGTATCGTGTCTTTCTTTATTGAAAATTGCCAGTGGTTAACGTGTTTTTACCGTTTCGGATTTGGAATACGTCCTGATCCACCAAACCGCATGGGATATGAACTTGCTCTTCTCACTGAACATGGAGTACAAAGGAAAACCGTTTGCAAAGCACTCATCAATGCATTGTTCTGTAAGACGGTCAATATCCTTTATTTTCCAGATAGTTCTGTTGACGACTTTTTGAGCATCCATGATCAAATTAGATTAATTTTCGCCTACTGTGATAACGATGAAAATATCCGAAAAGGTGCAGAGCTTTTATTGCGTAAATTTGAAGAAATGCAAATGTATGAGGAGAATGAGATTGCATTACAGCTATCAGGACTTCTTGCTCTACTAATTGAAATGGGCGCCAAACCAAACTACGTGGACATAAAAGGAAACAACGCCATTCACTATGCTACTCGCCTACCGTTTGTCGGCATACCTCAAGAAACGGTCATGGAAATATTTCGTCATCTAAAAGCTTTCGGAGTAAACTTTGATGCCAAAAACTATAGGAATGAAGCACCCCTCCAGTGTTGCCTTTCCGGCTGGGGTGCTCAACTTGAAAGAAGATTCCACGTGGAAAGTTTGTCGCGCTGTTTCACCACATTGGTAGAAGTTTGGAGATTTTGCTTGAAACAAGGCACGAGCGTGAATGGGATTACGAAAAGCGGGAATTCGGTGTACCACTTGATTCTAAAGCTCTTCTCGAAACCTTATAAGCCTGTTGAATTCGAATCAGTGAGACTTTGCGATCCTATTGTGCTGTCTAACATAGCAGAATTGATAAAACTATCTTCATCTAAGATTTCAAACCACTTGTTCTTAGTCAACCATAGGGATGAGAATCTGAACACACCACTACACCTATGGGCATCATTGGAACAGGCAGGTAACGAAAAACTGGGGGAAGGATACGCCGCAATTTTTAAACATCTTTTAGAATGCGGTGCAAGACTTAATGAACGGAACAAAAACCAGGAAACACCTCTTCATTTGTGCAAGACATGGAAAGCTGCGAAACTTCTTTTAGATGCTGGAGCAGAGCCAAATGTGCTGGATTCAGCAGGAAGGTCCCCTCTTCTCGTTGCAGTTTCTGAACGATTTCGAACACTTCATCGTAGGTTCAGAGATATATTTTATCCAGATATTTCAGAAGAGCCAAAAGAATTCTACGAAATCGCCATTGAAAGCAATCTTGATTTGTGGTCTGTTGACGAAAAAGGGAATTCTATTTTAGAATTATTTAACTGGTTTGATGATGCTAAGCTGTTATTAGAAGTCATGAACGACAAACATCTTCTTCAGTCAGACGCCGTTTCATTGTCGCTCTTGAGTTCTATATGCAATCAGTCTCTAACGAAAGTTCATTGGAGGGCTTCTCTTGTGGAAATTATTTTAAAAGCAAGAAAGAGGCCCATCTTTGTAAAAGCCGACCAAGATTCACCGCTTCATTTTTGCTGCAGAAGAATCATTCAAGGACGAAGATTTGTCGATGATATAGAGTCTTCAGTTCAATGGACAATTGCAAAGCTGCTTCTTTCATATGGTTACAAGAGCATTGACACTCCTGGTAAATCAGGCCAAACCTGTTTGGACATAGCAGAGAAATATCCTCCACTACGAGAACTTCTTCTAAAGCCTATTGACATCAAAGATGTTCCATTACTTGTTCCTTGGACGTCCGTATCCAACAGGTACCATGGAACATTAAGCAAAGTTGCCAGGCGACAGGAGTGCCAGCACACTGAGTCATATTGGTACCACAAAGACCATTTGACCAGTGGCTCGTTTGGTCTTGTCTTTGCAGGAATCAACGAGAACGATGGCAGGGAAGTGGCCATTAAGCGCATCGAAAAGTTGCGTTTACGGAGGCCAGAAGACAAACGAGAAATTGAGAATCTCACTGCTCTCGCAGACTGCGAGCAGGTTGTTCGCTATTTGTCTTTTTTTGAAGAAAATGACTTTTCTTACATTGTCTTAGAGCTGATGGAGGGAAATCTCGATGAGTACCTTGACACTGTTGTTGGCTGTCCCATTCAAGAAAGTATCAAACTTTCTAAAGACGTCTTACTTGGGTTGAAGTTTCTGCAAGAAGTAGACATCCTTCACAGAGATCTCAAGCCTGCTAATATTCTTTATAAACGTCAACCTGAACTGTGCTTGAAAATCGCTGACTTTGGTCTAAGTCGTCGTACTGGTAGTATTTCTACGACAGTTTATGGCACCAACGTTGGAACAAGGTGCTGGATTGCTCCAGAAGTGCTTAAGGCGACCAAAGATCATTCTAAAGCGTCTGACGTCTTTTCTTGTGGACTTGTTCTTCATTACATTTTATCGAAGGGCAAGCACCCATTTTCTCCTTCTTTTTGTAATGGTAAAAGTGAACTGCAAGTTCACAATGAGACAGAAGCTAATGTGATGAACGGTAATATGGAAGGACGGGATAATTCTCTTTGTATTGAAGCCACTCACCTTCTAAAGAAAATACTCGATTATGATGACACTAGACGCCCATCTGCAGCTGAAGCATTGGATCATCCATTGTTTTGGTCAAAGAAGAAAAAGATGGATCTTCTAATAGCTGTTGGTAATCAACCAGAATTCAGCTGCCCACGTGCTAAAGTGGCCTCTCCCTTGACTGCTGTTGAGAATGACTTGGAAGCAAGCTTTGGTACGATAGTCAAACATGTAAAATGGAATGACCCAGGTTATGTACACATGCCAGTCATTTACAACGAAATGATGTTGAAAAGGAAAATGCCATATGATCCTTTTTCCATGGTAGAGCTAGTGCGCTTTATACGAAACGCTTACGCACATGTGACTGCATTACCAAAGCCAATTCCAGATCAGTTGTTGAAAGACTTTGTGTTCTTGGAATATTTTCCAAATCTTGTGATGGAAGTCTTCAAGGCTGTAACCACTCATGGATGGGATCAGACGAGAGAAGAAATCAAATATGCCATTGGTGAATAAAAATTTAGGGTAATACGATTGGATGATATGACTGTTTTTTATCTACAATGTGCATGCTCGGGTGACATATACTATAACAACAGACCCTTTTCAAGTGCATTGCCATCTTAACATAGAGCTGCATAAGAGGCATAGGTTAATAAGTACCGCGATGCTGTTAGATAATATGACTGTATTTTATCTACAATGTCCAAATGAAGGTCGTCAAGCATGCTCGGGTGACATACACTATAACAACAGACCCTTTTCAAGTGCATTGCCATCTTAACATAGAGCTGCATAAAAGGCATAGGTCAATAAATACCGCGATGCTGTTAGATAA